TCATATTGCTTCTGCGACACCGTGCCTGGCTTGCCTGTTCGGGGTCATAATCGTTAGACTGTCGTGTAAATACAGCTCTAATGGCACTTTGATTGGTTGGAGTGATTGCTTTATTATGACGACACAAGGCTGACAGCTTCGAGAGCGTCACTTTGTTGAGCGAGGGTGGGAGCGAGGGTGGGAAAATTGATACCTATATGCTTTACGGTGACGGAAATTGACACTAATGGAGCTGGGTGGTAGATGGATGTGAAAATATGGAACACGATGAGCGTTTGCTGTGAAGGTGGGAAGGATGTTTGATCTTCGTGTGATTGCAACTTTTCGATAATTGGCTGGATTCAACGAAACTGATGGTATCGTTACTTCGATCGCTCGTCGTTGTATTTACATTAGCACAGTTGGTGTCGCTAGGAAAACATTGTTTTCTTGTTGGAAATCGGGCTCTGTAATTTGTAAAATGACATGCATCACCAAGAAACGTTTCACAGTGTTGTCGCGAGTTTGAAAGCGTCCTTCATACTTTGTTCCAACTGGAACTTAATTAAAGTCACCTTTTTACCATGATTTGATTGCCGTCGATCTTGTTTTCCGTACTGAGTACCAATGTTACCGATGCTAGGGCCTGAACATGATGATTAGGGTGGTTAATTTTTTTCTTAAATCAGGAAACTTAAATTTTTTGTTTGAAGTTATAGGTGGTTTCATCATCCAGCAAAGTTGTGGAAAAGCAACTTTGCTGAAGAAACAAGTTTTTTATACTAGAGCTATTTGTCTGCTATCTGCAGAACTGACCGAAAATCATCAGAAGAATTTCTGATAAATTTGATATGATAAGGAAATATATGGAGAACTCGGTTTCAATTTCCAATCAGTCGTAGGGCTTCGATAAAATTTCTGATAATTCAGAAGAATTCCTGATCAACCTGATACGTCGGGATAGTATTCAAAGGGTTTAATTTCAATTTTTGATCAAGCAACTTTGCTGAAGAAACAAGTTTTTTAGCGCTTCATCTACTACAGCTATTTGTCTGCTTTAGTTAGCGTGTCCGTAAAAAAACAGTTTCAAATATTACTAAAAAGTGATCTTCAGAGGAGTTGTAGGGAAAATTATAACGCACATTTTTGCTGAACAATGTGTTTGCGTATATATCATTAACATATGACACAAAAGTGTCAGTTTTGACTAAGAAAAAAATAATTTCGATGGTAAATTTTGAAAAACTAGTACTGAGGAATATATTTAATCATTGTAAAAAAGCAATGCAAAAAAAAAACATTTTTTTTTTCCTTTGGTTTGTTTTTTCCGTCGATCTTGTTTTCCGTGCTGAGCACCAATGCTACTGACGTGCCAGGAAGGCAGCTCCCACACCTGGACCCTACCTATCGACCCATCAACTCATGAACCGGGGACCAACGGCTTTACTTCCCATCCGAAGGAAGGCGTGATCAGAGATGTTATGCATCAGAACATCGAGGCGGCGCCGACTGAGATTGAACCCAGGCCCGGTGGAGTGAGAGGTAGTCACGCTTACCACTACACCACCGGCGCCGCTTATCATAAGTTAACAAAGTTACATCATGTCAAAGTTGACCATTTTGTATGAAAATCGGCATGTGCTTCTATTTTATTGAACACAGCTGTAACATAAATTTACACAGTTAAGCAGTTCTAGGCAAAATAACGAAACAAAATTGAATCAATCTCCGATTTGTATGAAACTTTGCGAAATTGATTGTTACGGACTGCTGAATTTGTACGTCAAATTTTTAAAATGGCCTCCTTGAATTTTTCAAAAATTGTAGCACGAAAACGGCAATTCTGATCGAAATGACGCCTGAGCAAAGTTGTAGAAAAAGTAATTGTCTTTAAGTAAAAAAAAAAAACATTTTTTAAAAACCCAAATGTCTCAAAATGTCTTTTCCGGATTTTAGAAATTGTATTTAAAAAAAAGCTTATGAAAAATGAAAACTTTTGAATTTGATCATGTACACTTGAAAATTGAAAAACATCGTAGAACAAGAACTTTTGGTAACATTTCGGAGCCTTTTGTTAATACGCATTTTTAAATTTTTTTTTACAGAAAATGATTTAAAATATCTCGAACAAAGTTTTCAGAGTATGAATTACATAAAAATCGTTACATAAAAAAAATTCAAAATTTTGACCATAAGATTTTGTTCTACGATTTTTGTCATTTTTTTAAGTGTCCATAATTATAAACATTTCAAAATTTTGCATTCAAAAAAAAAATATTCTTAAATCAGATATGAATATTTTGAGATAATTGTGGAAGCAACCATTGTGTGGTCCTCCTCATTGTTCTTCATCAGCAGTTCTTTCGGTCGATGCATCGTCGACTTTATGAAATCAACCGTTTCATGATGAGTGTGAGTGCTGACTCCCGTTGGAGATACTGCCATACAATGAAACCACTGGAACCACACCACGGCTCCCGTTCTGATGGAGGAGGTTTATTGGATAGCGGAAGATAAACTGTTTATTTTGTTGTACCTTTTGACTATAGTTTTAAGATGTATTGTATAGTAAACAAGAATCCTCGGCTACATAAAGTTAATTCGATTGAGCCTTATCAAATAAATTAGTAATAAACAAAACAATTTGAAATTACTCAACACATTTTTGTGTGATTTCCCAGAAAAACATTAGTTTTCTCTAAACTTTTGTGCCAGACGCTATTTTCATCAGAAGTGCCGTTTTCGAACTATAATTTTTTGAATAAAAAATTAGACGCCATTTGGAAAATTTTACAGGATCCAAACTGGCCGAATTTCAGGAAAAATGTGAATAATTGCGCATGACAAACAATTCTGCAAAGTTTCATGCAAATTGGCGTGAAAATGCTAAGTTCTGGTCTGTTCACACCTCTTCTTGTCAGACTTGACACGTTGATTTTTAATGAATCTTTTTCACAATGTGATTTGATGTGATTTTTTAAAAGCAAATTCTTTACTCTTACTAACTAAATTTTAAGCAATAGTGACTTTTTATCATTTCTGCAGCGAACACAAATAAATTATATATAGGGGAAATGGATGTAATGTCTAAATCTAAATGCCCCTAATTTGGGCCCATATATAAATTCAGCAATCGACTAAATTTTCAATAGCGATCAAAAATATCAATTAGTACCGCCCCAATGACGCGTTCATCTAGATAAAATTGATAAATAGTTGATCTTTAGCGATGGGCCCAATCTTAGATCCACAGGCCAACATTAGAGCCATTTACCCTATATATACAGTGCATCTCAAAATTGATCGTACACCCTAGAATTTTTTTAAAAACGTAAAAAGACGTATTATTTTTTTAAATCGTGGCTGGTGATTGAACAGATGTTTATTAATTTATTGCTATAATTTTGGTCTTTATAGGAGGAGCCTGTATGAAGTTAGATTTGTTTTAGTAAAACTCTCGATTTTCAACTGTTTACCTAGTGGACGAATTTTAGTAAAATTAATGGCAGATGAATGATCTTTATTACAAATAAAAATGAGCAAAATTTCAAGAAGTTATGTTCATTTCATTTCAAGAAAATAAGGTTTTCAAGAAAAAGGCGTTTTCCTTAAATTGATCTAACTTTTTGTAAACTCAATCAAATATGCCCAATACTGAGCCAATCTGTATATATCTATCTAGGGGAAATGGGTGTAATGTCGGCCTAAAGGCCCCTAATTTGGGCCCATACATAAATTCAGCAATCGACTAAATTTTCAATAGCGACCAAAACTATCCATTAGTACCGTCCCAATGACGCGTTCATCTAAATACAATTGATAAATAGCAGACTTTTAGCGATGGGTCCAATCTTAGATCCATAGGCCAACATTAGAGCCATTTCCCCTATATAGAAATGAATTCCTGTCTGTCTGTCTGACCCTTATAGACTCGGAAACTACTGAACCGATCGGCGTGAAAATTTGTATGCAGAGGTTTTTGAGGCAGGGAAAGGTTCTTATGATGGTTCGAGACCCCTCCCACGTCTGTAAGGGGGGTGGGGGCTCCCATACAAATTAAACAGAAATTTCTGCATAACTCGAGAACTAATTAAGCAAATAGAACCAAATTTGGCATGTGGAGATCATAGAGGGTAGCCTCTTAGATAAGAGGGGGGCTACGTACAATATAGCATGCTTTTTTTTAATTGGCGTATAAACTCAAGCGAATATTGAATCCCGAGCAAGGCCGTGCACACTTAGCTAGTAATGCTGCACACTACGAAAAAGACATGTAAATTTAAGTGCCCTGAGACCGACACATGCAAGCGGCCCTATTGACATAAGAATCAGTTGAAAAGTACGAGAAAATCAATTCAATCAAACGCACTTTTCGTCGAGATGCTTATGTTTCAGTTTCAGGACACTCAATTTTACATGCCATGGTTGATTACGTTCCATGATTTACGTCAAAGCTGAATTACGTCTAGTGTAAAAATAGTAATTTCTAAGTGTGTGAGTTAACTGCCAAAAATTGAGAGTCGTATCGTTTTAACTTGTGCTTTTGAGAGCCGTTTTTCTAGAATTTAAATACTGCTGTACGATCAATTTTGAGACACACTGAGTATAGGAAAGTTTGAGGCTAACCGGTCTGCTTGATATGCTGTCTTAAATTTAAAGCTATTAAAAACACTGACCGCTTTTGCAGCTTGCCCCAATTCTGGTTCCATATGTGGAAACGGAATGAACAGAATAATTTGTCTTAATCACAAGCTACCAAGCGTCTCCATAGTATAATGCTTTCCCACGGAGCCAATATCTAAACACGGAGCCTTCTCCTTCGATCCATTCTTGATTGTTTGCCGTCCAGCTTACATCGAAGAACGATGGGCTCACAGCTTGACAGCTTTATCAGTGTCCTTCTTTTTGTGTCCCCCCATATACTGATGCCATTGTCATTCCCAGTATCAATATGTGCATGTGACGTGATGTGAACAAACAATTGTAAGACTCTATACAAATTAATAAGCCCTATCACTCACCTGTAGACGATACTGCTGGTCCGCCGAAGCCGCTGCTGCTGCCAGGTATGGATCAAAATACACACTATTGGTATTATTATTTTTGTCGATGGCCATTGTGGTTGGTATCCAGATTTTTTTTTTTCGGCGATCACAGCATGGAAAAAGAGAGAAAAATACGTTGATAGTTAGTGAAATTGATTTATTTATTCACACCTGGTACGGGACGAAATTGATATCACCCCACAACCCACCCCATCAGTCATCAGTGGATCAGAGAGGTTGGGAATAAATTTGATTTTGATTTCCCCCGCGACCTTTGAAGTTGCTTCTCGTTTGCTGTTTCGCGTGAAATCAAATAAATATAACCACGATTCCTTCTGCCTCCTCCCCGTTCCCCGCCGGCAATAGATAGCCGGAATAATGATAGCTGCTGGTAGGGATATTGAACGCCGAGCCGAGTCAGCAAGGGCGCGAACCCTGCGGGTCATTTCGGTGTGAAAATGATTTATTGATTGTTTGGTTTTTGGTTTATTGAACCGGGTGGACCGGGTGATAAGGGTGGGCAGTGCACAGCGCGAGTACCACCAACAGTCAATTCAGTCTCCAGGCCCGTCAGGTTGAGAAGTCAGTGGCAGCAATGCGTCAGATGCGGTTGGTTATTGGAACAGGGGCCAATTGGACGATCTGAATTGGAATGCTTCCGGGGTTTCCTTTGTTTTGAATCCGGAGATTTGAGCGAATTCATTTAACATATTCAAAGTTTGAAACTCGCAGCATAAAATTTATGTGGTGATTAATAAGTACGATGATTTGCCTTTTTTGAATATAGAGCTGATAAACGGTTACCGTACGTATGTTCTTCACTAAGGCAGATTGATATAATTTTTCACGTTTCTGAACCCTTCATAATCGACGGAATTGCTTAGAAGCATGCACCAGAATTCTCAGAAATTAACATGACTTTTTCAAACGATGACAACAATTAGAAAAACGGTATACAACAATGTCATCCTCGGACCCGATTTTCTTCCCTAACTCTCGAGTTTGTACAACAATTTTCAACACTTCGCCGAGCTAGCACGGGATGGCCAGGTGGTGTGACCAGGCAAGACAAGACCGATACCTTTGTCCACCGAGGAAAAAGCCATCGAAATCGCAATCACCACAACATTGCGGCGGGGGGGCTTCCGTATCCAGTCAGGGCAGAGTGTTAAGATGAATCCCGCAAGTTGTGGGCAAGTGGGTAGCCGAAACAGACAATAGTATAGTGAAGCAACCCTCGCTGATTGTGCTCGGTGAAAGCAATGGGAAAGTTTTGCGCTCTGTGTATAACTTTGTAATATAAAGTTTACCATGGGTTCTCTCCTGCTGGGCGAGTGGGATGAGTTTTTGAAAACCTGGCTATCATCGTGTGCAAAGAAGTAGCTGGGAATGCGTGTGTTCCTTGACGGGAGGGGGAAAGGGCAAGGCAAGGGAAGCCGCACACTTACTACTGTTCCGGGAGTTTTTTTTTTATTTTATGTGCATGCTTATCTGAGGTTTCTCGGCTCTCTTTTTGCCTGGAGGAGGAGGAAATGGCTGTTGAATAGAGTAAAAAATGGCACACGTATACACCGAACACCATAAATCACGTAAATATTTTAAAAGGCATTACAGTTTTCCCGTTGCAGCTGTTGGGGCGCTGCGGGGATAAATATCTTCCTAGCATTGTTGAAAGTATTTGCTTTTCTGCGAAAAAGTGCTCGCCCACTTGGAAGGTGCGGTAATGATGAAAGGTAGTGTTGAAGTCAATGGAAAAGTTACACTGTTACTAGTAGTCCACTTGGGGCTGCTCCGGCGCGAGGTATAAGTGATGTAAGGTCCACGTGGAAGCATTCAGGTTGTTCCCTAGCCAAACTGTACGAGAAAATGCTACAGTACAGATTAAGGGTATGCCCCGTAGCGGGGGTAGATCACCTTTTCGTGGTACTTTACGGGATGTAAGATCTACCACCGATTCCTAGTCCTGGCTGCTTCAAACTAGGGGAACAGGATTTTTCAGTAATCCAAGGAACACATCTTTGTCCTTGTTACTTTTTATGCCTTGTTGATAGTGCCAAGACTCGGCTTTGTCTACCGAGGATGATCTTGAAACAAGGAAAAATTGAGTTAGTCAGCCTTCATGTGATTCCTTATCTTCTATTCGTTGTTCCCTAGTTTGAAGTGGTTAAGACTAGGGTTCTGATGCATGGTCATTATCGGTGTTATTCCTTAATTTTATTGCTAAGGAATCCAATTTTGACTGACAAAGGGGCGCGCCTTTGGAGGGTGTTTCAACACTCCGAAGGGTATAAATAGCGGGACCTTTCAATTAGAGTCGGATCCTTGCGATAAATGCGAGAATGACAACTGTAAAAAATCGAATACTTCATCATTTATCAATAGTGATGGAGTAATACGACATGCACTAAACTAAGGACACGGGATATACTACAATAGATCAAATTACTGGTCGCAGTGGTGTTAGGTCCCGAACAAAAGAAAAAAAGGGTATGCGATATCTTGAGTAATTCCGTTTATTTCGCCTCGGAACGTAATTTCGCGGAATTTTTAGGAAGCTGTCTGCCCACATTATAAGTTTGATCGGTGAACTCGCCTCAGGGTTTTGAAAATGTTTCAGACTTCGAAGTGAGATAGGATGTTTTTTGACGTAGGACTACGTCTGTGATTTCTATAAGGGGGTACACTTTGTGATAACCGAAAATGGAACATGTAACAAAATTATGAAAGATTTTGAACGATAATAACTCAGCTGCCCCTAGACCGATTTCAATAATTTTATAACCAGTCGACCACAAACATTTCTACGCATCTGTAAAAATTTATGACTTTATAATTTTTCAAAATGTCACTATTAAAAATTGCACGAATGTGCAACTGTTGCTAAGATACTTAAAATTATAACCGATTGCCTTCGAAAACGATTTCCTAACATGGATTTCAAAGTTATCTTGTTTGCCCTAAATTAGAAATGGGCTAGATAGAAAGTTTCTGGTTTCGACATAGGGTAAATGTCGGCTTCGGCACCCATTGACTGTTCTCGGCAACCAAAATTTAAACGTTAATTTCACTATGTTTTCCCATAAACTCACGTCCCTGAATGCACCCAAACGATTCTTTAGTCTTTCAGCTTCAATCTGATTGTATTTGTACGTCTGAGCAGTCCTGTTATGCCAGATTTTTATTCAAATGAAACATACGTACTCTAAAATGGGGTTGATTTCAAGTTGCCGATAATAGAACAGCTGGTTAACACGCAGTTCTAATGGGAAGGTTGCCGAAGAAAAAGAGGCTGCCGACAATAGTCACACTCACCTGAGAAGTTTGGAGCGTTGTAAAAACGTTTTCAAACAGTTTTGAAGAATTCTGTCGATTGGAATGGATAGAGAAGCAAGCAGCTGATGAATGTAAACCAACAAACACATCATATATGTGCGTGACGCTGAGAAAATGCTAATAGAAGTGCGGGCACTGCTTAGATTGACGAGAATACGTAAATTCCCCTAGTTGTTCAGATGGAAAATAACTATTTTATGGTAAATAATATAGCTCAAAATTAACTCACACTAGAGTGATATTAATTTTTCATTGGTTTTTCAGAGTGATATTAATTTTTCATGGGTTGCTCTAACTTTACATGTGGACTAGATAGAAAGTTTTCTTCTTCGGTAAAGTTGTGCATGTTATCATTTAATGTGACTGTGTTATCATTTAATTTAAGCGCTACTTCAGCGGTTTTCGAAGCTATTATTGCATTTTAGCGCAGACAACAAATCGAGAAGACTGGCAACTCTTCCATTTTCTCATACGAACGCTATGAGACAGGTACAATCGCGTCATCTGCCACTCAAAGGTAAATGCTTCGAACGAATTTGAGATAGCAAAGATTACATCCTCAGAAGCAAGGTTTGTGTATTTACTCATTTTTCTATGCGTTGCTTCCACCTTCACTCAAGCGTAGCGCTATTGTATCTGTCGCTTGGATTCTGGCAAAGTTGCCAAGTTGTATGATGGCTTCGATTTTAGGTATTTCTTAGGCCACTTTTGGCGTTTCATATTTAGGCGTTCTAAAGATTAATTTTGAGGTTTCAGATTGTTCTGATGATTTAAAGTTATTTTGGAGTTTTCTGTCTGAGAGTCTATTTCCATGATTTTCATAGCCATTTCGGTGATTTTAGACACCATTTGGACGTTTTTACGCAAATGTTGGTATTGAAGATTATTCTGTCATTCTGAAGGTAATATTTGGGTTTCAAAAATTAGTGATTTGAAGGTTATTTTAGACGGTTTTGGGCAGTGTTTATTTACAGGGTGGCCACTGAATTTAGGAAATTAAATTTCCCGTATGCCCATTATAGTTTTCTCAATTTCATATTAACAGCAAAATATGGTAAAATGGAATACTGACATGAATTAATTTTCAGATGTTTTTTTTTTTCTCCAATAAAGTATCAAATTGTCAGTTTTAAAGAGTCTCAGAATTTTCAAATCTCTCTTCGATACATGTAAATTTTTCCAATGGCACTAGGCCGAACGCTACTGGGCTGAGTAGGACCGTATGTTATAAAGCGATATATTGAACTTGGAAATTTATTTTAAAACAATGAGAACCACGAAATAATATTGGGATGCCGACTGAGAAATTTTATTGAGAATTACATAAGAACATTTTCGAGACATCAGACTACACTAGTTTTTAACATTCTTGAACTTTTCGAGATTTCATCAGACACAGAAAAATTTTAAATTTAAAGATCTCAGATTAAAAAAAAAATCTTGGTTTAGACAACCTTTTTTTTGGATTTTGACACTATGAAGAATTGTGTACAGAATTTTAAAGAAAATGCCAAATGAGTTGTGAAGAGAATTGTAGAGGAATTCAAGGGATAATTATGAACGAATTCTGAAGAAAATTCTAATGGAATTCTAAAGAGGATTCGACAAGAATTGTTAGGAGAACTAAGGGTGAATTCCCAGGTAGTTCTGATGAGACTATTATGGAGGTTGGGAAAAGAAATCTAAGACAAATTCGAAGACATTTTA